CTTGCCATGGTTTATAATGTAATACTCTTCTCTCTCAGTTTGTCCTCTTTGACTTCCATCAGACCCATCCCCTCTTCCCTCTTACCCACCCCGCCCCATCACCTAAGCTAATTTCTCAGGAACCTCTCTGAAGTTCACTTTCATTGCCGCACCTCCTCTTCGTTTTCTAAACTTCTTCTGAATCATTTCTTGAACAAAGAGTGAAACATCTGAATAAATTGGCCAATTAACATTTTGATTTTAATGAACAAAACTCAAAAATTTTATTGAACGAAATTACTAATTTGGCCAATTAGTAGATTTACCAAATGATCTATGCAATGGAATTGTTTCTTGAACAAAGATATCTATCGAAAGTTCCTGGATTTGGCCAATTAACTTTGCAATTAACTAATTAGAATTGATTTCTTCCCAAACAACCCAGAAGAGTTAGAGGAAGAAACAACGAGGAAGGCGTCTGACGATTGACGTAGTAGAAAGAAGGAGAAGAAAGAAGAAGAAACAGGAGGAGAGGGGTGTGTCATGTGCGGGGGCTGACGAAGAGGAATAAAGATCTTACGATCTTGGCAAGTTTGACTACCCATGAAGACGTGTTTAGAAGGATTATTAGGTGAGCTGAAATATTGTACTACCTCCGTCATTATTTCAAGTCAAGCAGAATGAACTTTACACCAGAAAAGAAGAATGGAGACTGTATTACATATCAACGAACTCAATAGCTTTTTTGGTATTTCATAATGTTTCTTTTTAATTTGCATGATTTCCTTTTTTTGTTTGTTCCATGAATTATAAAGTGTAATTGCTGCACATGATAATATAGTGTATAAACTAAATCCCCTTTGGTCGTGTAGTGTCAAGCTCATCTTCGACACAAAGAAAAAGTAGAAAATCGGCTCTAGCTAAAATTTGATACAAAACTATTTCGAAATCCATTCTTGATAAAATTGCTGAAATTGCAAAAGATTTAAATGGTAAAAGATCATAGTTGTTAATGGCGAGCGCCATTTGGCTTATGGCGCCTAAGGTGAAGTGGCGAGGTCTTTCTGCCATACCAAGATAGGGCGAGGCATTGTAAAAAGCCGCGCCATGGCGGTCGCCATTCACGTCAGGATTTGTGGTGAGAAGCGCACACCATCTTTGCTCTACTTTCTGAGCGACGCAAAAGGTGATCTGAGCGACTGGGATCCTTGGCAGAAGCTTAGGATTGCTAGATCTAGGCGGTCCGATCTTTGGAAATAATCTGCGGGTTGACATATACATATACATATACATATACATATTCAACAGTACACCCTAATAAAACAAAGTACTTATGGCAGATAGGTGAACTGTTTTTTCAGACTCTGTATATTCAATAAATATAAAATGCAGCAAAGAATCAAAATGGGCCTTTTTAGCTACTATTCTTAAATTGAAATACAAAGTTGCTGAGAAGATAAGATTAAACAATTCTAAATAAAGTCATGTTCAAATGCAAAAGTAAGATTTATAAATCATAAATGAGCAAACTAACCCATATGAATTGAGAGTCTGAATCGGGATTGAAACTTAAATTAGGACGAAAAACTGAAGAAATTTGTGATGAAATTCAAATGCATAGAATACCTCGATGAAGATTGTCATAGACGGTGAATTTCCCGCAAGAACGTTAAAAACGTCAACCCCGCGCTTCGAAGGGAACTAGAAGAGAGATGTACGACTGCGGAATGTAGGGTTCTTCTTCAACTTCAAAATGAAGCAGAGAGTCGGACCATTTAGAACAGATTATTATGGCGGGGGGGTTTGAAAGCAGAGAGGGAGAGATGGAGATGTGATAAGAGGAGAAGGAGACGAAGGAATGGGAGTCTAGGCATACCCTACCCGTAGATAACTCACGGGCCATTGAAATTTGGGCCAAAGAAATTGGTACAAGAGTAACTAGCAAAAAATACTTGTTTTTTCTTCGAGATCCGATTCAGAAATACTGGAATTTGATCAAAGTTTTGTTAATGGAACCAAAAATTACCCGTTAAAAATGGGTCAATTTCGATTGAACCCGACCTAGCCGACCCGCTAATGTTATAAAAATAAGATTTTAATTATATTTCTTTGCTTACTACTCGTTTTTAATGTATAAATTTATATTTTCATACAAAATTATAATGATATTGCATTATTATCTTACTTTTTTCAAAATTTTCTACATATTTTGTTTTTTATTCATAATATTGACAATATGTCATAAAAATTACTTAAAATTTCAAAAAATAAATGAAATTCATAACTCATTGGGTCGACCCGAACTCGATGACATTGGGTCATAAACATGTAGCTCTCAACATGAACCTCAAGTAACTTGAACCCAAGGTGATCGGCCGAACCTGACCGACCGTTTTGCTCGCTCTAAGAATTACTAATGTAAAATTTACTTGTTACTCAGTCTGTTTCAATTTTAGTTATTCGTTTAGTATTCATCGGATCAAACATTAACTACGTTCTTGACCCATTTTTGTGACTCATTTAAGAACATAATATAGTCTTGTCATCTCTTGTTTTGTATTACCTCCGTTCACCAAAGTAGTTCTTATTTACTATTTAAGGGTGCTCAATAATTTTTTGTTGTATATGCATTTTTATTAATCATTTGATAAAATAAAATATTCTTGTCATCACTTATTTTGTAGAACTTTTGATGTAATTTTTAAATATGTAAATTAAACCTTTTATTTTTTACCGATTTGTAAATAAAATCATTAAAAAAAGATGAGATTTTGTATGTAAAAACAAAATAGTACGGAGTAATAGTTTTGGGGAACAGATGTAGTAGAACTTTTGATGTAGTATTTTTAAATATATATAAATTTTACTTTTTTAATTTCTTAATTACCAATTTTCAAATAAATTAAATTGAAAATAACTTCACTCAAATCTCGTAAACATAAGAACAGACGACCCGTTTTGGGAAGGATGAAGTAAAAAATTTATGTCAAAAGTTTTACAAAATATAATATTATATTATTAAATAATTAATTAAAATACACAAATAAACAAAGTTATCCAGAGGTAGATGGATAAAAAATTGCAATCTAATATGGGATGGACGAAGTAAAAAATAAGAATACTCCTATAAGGGAACAATATTTGAATATGAAAATATATTATACTTCTTATGTTCTAGAAAAATCCTTACAAGTTGATTTTTTTGTTAAACTTTACAAATTCTGATTATAAATTATTAAAAAGTATATTCTGTATTTATTATAATTAAAATTAATAAACTTAGGTTCATTTTAATACGGAGTTCTAAAAAATTCTTTCTGATTTTCATGATCAATTTGGAAAACACTATTAAAATTTTAAATAAGATTATTTTGAAAATTCACTCAAAAAAAATTCCTTTGCATCAGAGTGATAAATTAGGAAACACAAAAAAAAATTGTTCACTCATTAAAGAAGGAAACTACTTAAGAACCCGTTTGATTAGTTTTTGAGATATAATAAGATATTAATTATGAAATTTGGCAAAAATAACATAGATTTTGAAATCTTATATGGTGTTATTTGTAAAGATTTGAAATTATGGTTTAATTAGTGATAAGCGAGAGTGACTGGAAACGAGGTGGTTGGCATTGATGATTGTAGCTGGTGATGGAGAATGATCAATAGTTGAGAGATAAACCAACATCCCTTATTGATATTTTCCAAATTTGGAAGATATCAAAACACTCCATTTGAAGGATTTATGACAAATTATCCGAATAAGAATAAAATCTAGTAAATAGTTCGATTCAATCTTTTAATGTAGTTCATCCTAGATGTTTTATGACTCAGTTTAGTGATCCCTACCCCATCCAAATTTTATCACGGTATCGAAACAGATTTTGGTCCGCCTCATTTGTTAAGGTGCAGTGTTTGTCTAAATATTCATTTCTAGCCTAGTTATCCGTATAGAATATATAACCAACGGCATGTGGCCCATTTAACGTGCTAATTCATCTTGAAGTCCAAACCAAGAGACTCAGAGTTCTTAAGGTGTCTGCATTCTTAAATATTTGTTTCAAGTGGAAGGGAATCCATTTGCAATAGTCAAACGGTTAAATTTAAAATGATTCAATTGTCCACTTGAGAGAGAATGCTAGAGTGTATTGCACATCAGAAATTGAAGACTGATCGGTATATATGTAAGCTCTTGTGTTTAATTAAAGTAATCGAATGAATTCAATCTTTTAGTATAATGTAGTTCAGCCTAAATGTCTTATAACATAATATAGTGATCCTTATCTCATCGTAAATTCTATCCATCAAAACATTAGACCTGTGGGAGATAGTGATTGGCCAATAATGAATTGGAATTGAAGATCATTTTTTACACAAATAGGGAATATATTCAATGACACGAAATTACGAACACACGCAACTCAAATGCAAACGACACAAAAGGACTCATCACACATAGTTTTTTTAAAAAAGTTACGGGCATTCTAGAATTTCGATACCATTTTGACACCATATTTTTTACAAATATACATACACTAAGGGCCTGTTTGGGAATAGCGTTAGAGATTAGCGTTAGCGTTTTGGATAAAATTTTAACGGTGCAGATTAATTTAAAAACGCTAACGCTAAACGCTGCACGTAGATAGCATTTTGAAAACGCTAACGCTAATCTCTGACGCTATTCCCAAACATGCCCTAATTGTATATGCCGATGCATAGATAATTATCGTGAAAGTGGTATCATAATTGTGGCTTGGGGTTCTCATCCCCTATCACAAGGCTGGCCAAAAGCGCATCCTCCACATAACCCAACAAGCACTTTCATATACTCTTCCCGTCTTGTAAAACATGAGATGTTTTGTTTTTTAAAAAGATTTAAGGGGAGTGTATTTTGGTATTGAATTTCTAAATATGTCCTTTAATGTGATGAGTAAAAGTAGGATTTGATGGGTAGATTATTAGTAAAAAGGTATGATGTGATAGGTAGGGTATGAAAAACTAAGGGGTAAAAGTGACTTTTTAATATAAATAAGAAGTGTTTTTTGGGACGGATGAAAAAAGAAAGAAGAAAGATTTCCAAGGAGGGAGGGAGTATACCTGATCCATGAATGTTTATACAATACTTCACATTGCATAGTCTCCATGTTTACCCATCCATACAAGGTTTCACACATATAGATATATAGATATTGTTCCTTTTAAATCAAACCTATAGATATAAACTCATCACAATTATGCATAAATATTTAAGGGTACCAAGAAGGGTAGGCACCCATCCAGCTGCAGCTACCGCCGCTCTTCCCACCATCATCACCATAAAAGAACCCGGCGGGGTCAGTAGCCGCTGCTTGAAGCTCGCTGTCGGCACTCGCCTCCGCCCAGATCGACGAGTCGTCGATCTCCGGCAGGCCGTTCAAGTTGAATGTCCCCGCCGACGACCACATTCCTTCCACCTCCATCGGATCATCCGCACCCCCATGGCCCCGCTGCAGCTCTGCCGTCGACGTCACTGCAGCCTCGTCGATGTTCATCAGCGGCGGCAGAGTGGCAGCGGCAGGGCCAGAGCAGTGGTTGTAGTTGAACAGCGAGAGCTGATTTTCATGTTGGGTCTCGGCATTGTTGGTGGTGGAGCAGTAGAGATTGGAGGGGGGATTGGAACCCGAAGATGCCTGGCCATGGTAGGTACCTGTAGGGATACATTATCAAAATTTGACTCCAAAATTAAAATCAACTCGTGAGGTGAAACTGGAGGGGGTAGGGGTGTTCCGATCGGGGTGGAGTGGAGAGTTTACCGGGTGATTAGTGAAATAGGAACCATCAATTTTACGAACGGGGCACCGGAGCGGCTCCGGGTCATCCCATGACATTGCCGGGCAATGTCATGTGAACCTTGGTGTAAATATATACCATGCATTGTGTACTTTAATTATAGAAAAAGTATTTTGATTAATTTAATTAAAAATAAAAATTATTTTCTTTATTTTAGTTAAAAACAAATATTTTGTTAACGTAGACTTATTGTCTCACTTTGAACAACATGCAAAATATTATCTTTTTTAAAATTATTTTATCTACTTCTAATTAGTATAAAAACAAAAAATATAAATGAAATATTTTAAAACTATGTTGATTTTTTTAAAACTAGATGTGGTAAAAATAGTACTACCTCTGTTTAAAAAAAATTTACACGTTTTGACTAAAGTTGAAATTAAGGGAGAGATAATTTTGTGTTGACTTTCTAAAAATACCATTGATGTGATGGGTAAAAATAGCATGTGATGTGTAGATTATTAGGAAAAAGGTATGATGTGATAGGTAGGATTTAAAAAAATAAGGGGTAAAAGTAGTTTTTTAATAGAAAATGGTAGGAGATTATGGGACGCAATTTTTTTGAAAGGTGTAAATCTTTTTGGACGGAGAGAGTATATTTTATCAAATATTCAATGAATACATATAAATAACAAACAAAAGTAAATATAATGTGAGAGTAGTTTCTCTTCCATATTTCATTGAAAGTTTTTAATTTTGGTTTTTTGTTCTTTACTTTTAAATGTTAATTTTCTTGTTTTCTAGTTTAAAATAAAAATACTTTGAGTTTTCGGTATTTAAATGAAATGTTTTAAAAATAATATTACAGGGAACAAAATAAACGGCTCTGTGGGCTCTTTTTTCCGATTTCCGAGGCTCTTTTTTTCCCTCCAATTAACGGCCTTCTAACCGCTAACATATTGCGACGTCATTAGCGTATGCTGTCGGCCCTCGACAAGTGACCTCCCATAAGACGGGGATCCGATTAATTTCGGTCGCCATAGAGCGGCCGGCTTCGCCACGCTATTTTTATTTATCCCCCCAAAGTTCGGGGTCATTTTTGTTTTATTTTACTCCATTCCCTCCATAATTTCTTTTCAAGTTTGGAAATGATGTTAGCTATTAGCGTTAGCATTTTGGAAATGTTATCTACGAGTAGCATTAAGCGTTAGAGTTTTCAAAGTAATTTGCACCGTTAAAATTTTATCCAAAACGCTAACGTTAATCTCTAACGCTATTTCCAAGCAGGCCATTAATCAAAAATTTTAAACTCTAACTATTCATTACATGAAAAATAATTAAATTCTATATAAATTTAATATCATTAGATTTACTTTGAAGTATAGCTTTGAGAAAATATATTTTTTATAGAATATATATATTTATACATAAGTAGATATATTAATGGTCGCCAAGGACCTTTTTTTAAGTGGCGCTGTTATAGGTCTCCCAAATGAGAGGTCACATGTTTGATTCTCAATGTAAGCGATAACTCAACGAGTTTTAAAGAAAAATGTAAAAAAAAAGAAATAAAAGAAAAGAGCAATATAATGATGTTTTGTCGTAGTTTTCTTTGCATGTGGGCCACACCAAGTTTTTTTCTTTTTTCTTTCTTTTCTTTTCTATCTAAATTAAAACATCCAACTTGAATTGTTGTTTTCTCTTCTCTAGTTTATTTTTCTTCATGTTTTTTCAACCAAACACAATTAGGCTTTTGGTCGTACACTAATTAAAATACAAAACCATTTACGTGTGCAGTAGGACAAAACCTATCACAATTTTAATTGCTAATGCTAACTAGTGCATGTAGTATATTGCACCTGTTAAAGTGAAATGAATGAAGTGCCTGAAATATAAATTGTCATTATGAAATTTTAGTTACACTAATTAAAAAATAAATGAATATAAAGCTAAGATACTTTATATCTACATTAATTATACTTCATCCGTTCCGAAATGTTCTTCCCACTTACTATTGACACGTTCAAACTTTAATCACTTTCTTTACATATTTTCATTAGGTATTTGATAAAATAATATAGTCTTGTCAACACTTGTTTTGTAGAACTTTTGATGTAGTTTTTAAATATATAAATTTTATTTTTTTAATTTTACACCTACAATCAAATAAATTGAATTAAAAATAAAGTCGGTCAAACTTCGTAAACAGAACCGGGAAGAACATTATAGACTGAGAGAGTATTCATCTTTCAATATATTTAAAAAGTTTTAAAAGATAGCTAATTTGAAATGAGAGGAATGTTATCCATTAATTGTATGGAGTAATAACCAATCTAGGGAGTATGTTGAATTAATATGAGTCAATGGAATTTTAAACAAGTGCAACTTATAATGATATTCCATCCCAAAATGATCTTTTTAATTGATTTTTCTTAATCAAATTAAAGTTTGTAAATTTTGATTTCGATCTATGAAAAATATACATTGTGCTTCGGTATAAATGTAATATCAATAATTTTCTTACGAAACATAATTTTTAAATTTAATATTTTCTTAAACTATAATGATTTAATATTTCGGTAATATGATTTAATATTTTCTTAAAATATATCCATGTATTAATTTTTAAAATTTAATATTTTCTTAAAGTTTAATGATTATTGGGAAGGAGTAATCAAGAACTTAAAATACTTATAAATTTGGGTACGAGGTGAGTCATAAATTAGTTTTTCTTAAGTGAACACTTGTCGTCAATTACCTTAGCTTTGGGAATGAGTTAACTCTGGGGGCGTATCTATTGGCATTAAATTTTGATGGATATCAACTAGATATCGTATTACTATATTAGTTCTTTTTTATAAAAAAAAAATTGGAGTACGTAACACTTTTTAATTTCTATTGAACTAATTTTAAATGTCTAAAAATATACGCCCAAAAACTTTAGAGTATGTAAATCTGGATTTTTTGTCTATTATTTGATCTCTATTTAGTCTATATACTTCTGACTTACTTGTTACAGATTACTCACTATCAGATTTTCTGTCACTTCAGGATCTGGTAGTAGCTAGTAGCTAGGTTAACTTCAAATTCTTGTAAATCTAAGCTCTCACACTCTCGTTACAAATTAGACATCCCCAATTATTCTCACCAAAGAACTAATCAAATAACTCAAATTCAAGAGCTCCCAAAAACAATCACATATCGAATAATTACTCTAAAATAATTATAGATTTATTCTTCATTATCACATCTTAAACTATTTTAGGATGGATGGATAAATATAGCTAGCCTAAAAAATGTAATCACGTTGGGAGTATTACGTACCCATAATCCATATACTTCGTATTAAAATACTCCGTAATATTTATGGATGAATATTAAAATAATATTTATGGATGAATGAGAAAACTATTTTTCCTTTAGAAAGGAAAAAAATGACATATATAAGAATAAAACATCAAATATATTGTATATTAAAATAAGACGACATCAAATCTTATATCTTTACTCTCTAAATTATGATGAGTATTTGCTCTGCACAATCTTGATATTGTGTTTTAAGATATTATACTACTCCTTCTATCCCATAAAACACTACTCATTTTAAATGTATTTGGTAAAAAAATTACACATTTTGACTATAAATTGTGAGAAAATGTATATTGATAATGATATAAATTTAATATAATTAGATTCGTCTTAGGATTTATTTTGATCTATCAAATTTTTATCACTTTTTTATTTAGATTATATTTAATTTATGATCAAAACGTGTAATTGTTTGACTAAAAATACACCAAAATGGGTAATGTATTTTCTTGCATTATATATTGACAGTCTTAGTATTTTCTTGAGTAAATTAAGAGATGTAGAGTCACAAACCTGCAACACCCAGATGCGTCGGACACACAAGAGGCTTACAATTTGCGACATTGTCCTTCACAAACGAATAATAGTCCGACGGGTCCCCGCCGTGGCTCGGAGAGGGAGGCAGTGGCAGGGGCTGGTCGACCCAGAGGTGGGGGAGGTTGAGCTGGGCTCGGGATCCGAAAAGGCAACGAGCCGCGGTGTCGTAAGCCACCGCGGCGTCGTACGCGCTCTCGAAAGTGCCGAGCCAGATGCGGGACCCGCGGTTGGGCTCGCGTATCTCGGACACCCACTTCCCCCAGGTCCTCTGGCGGACGCCCTTGTAGGTGCAACTAGCGTTCTCTGGGCCGCCTTTTCCCCGGGCGTACGCTTTCCTGGAGGTCTGCCGCGGCTTGGCGGCCGGGGGAGGCGGAGGGTGGCGGCGGCGGTCGTCGCCTCCGTGGGCAGCAGAGCCGTTGGCCATTCAGTAATTAATTTGTTATTGGGATTGGTGGGAGTGAGCTCAAGTGCATGGATTTATAACGGCACGTAAATGGGTATAAAAATATAAATATGGGAAAATGAGCGGAAGATAAAAAAATTTAAAGGCGTTAGTTACGTGGGCAAAGGTGAGAGGGAAAATTGGTAAAGCTACGTGTCAGTACGCAGTACTCAGTAAGCTGCATGTCCTCTTGGCATGACGTCATAATTATTTTCCCTTTTTTTTACTTTCAAGGTAACGCAGCTTCGATATCCGAACCCTTTCTACGCACTACTTCGGAGAATTTTAGGCCTTCGTTAATATTTTAGGCTGCAATTTTATTAATTTTTAATAAAGTAAAATAGACTTATAAAATAGATTTATATCACTTTTTTTGTAAATATTTTTTATATATTTTTTAACAGGATTTTTGATATATTTTTTTAATATGTACTCCTTCCGTCCCAGAAAACATGAGAGTTTTGGTTTTGGAGAGTGATTTAAGGGGAGTGTACTTTGGTATTGAATTTCTTAAAATGTCCTTTGATGTGATGAGTAAAAGTGTGATTTGATGGATAGATTATTAGTAAAAAGGTATGATGTGATAGGTAGAGTATGAAAAAGTAAGGGGTAAAAATAGTTTTTTAATAGAAATGTAACGGACTTTACGGGACGCAGTTTTTTCTAAACGTAACAAACTTTTTGGGACGGAGAGAGTATTTAATTTACACACACACACACACATATATTAAAAGTTAGTTATTTAGTAGTAATAGTCATTATTATTTTTATTATTGATTGTAATATTATGATTATTAGGTTGGTGGAATTTTAGTTTTATCGAGAGTTTTTTTTGATTATTTATCTCGATGCATTTGTTGAACTGACAAGACTGGCTAGGAATTAGGATTATTTTTTAAGGTTAGGGTTTTCATCAACTTCTTATAAATATGGATATGACCTCATTTACAATATCAATCAAATAAACAAATCACAAACCTTAATCCCTTCACATCTTTCAGTTCGCATATTCTCTTCCTGCGTATGAGAATGCCCGTCTCAGCTAGGGCGATCCTTCTGCTGCTTCTCGTATCAATTTCTAAATAAAGCTTGAAGACGCGTTAGGTCTTCCCTATATCCTATACGAGTTTGTATGAATACTTCATTAGTGCTTCTATTGAATTACACCAAAAAAATTTCGCTCCGGTCACAACTTAACCCCACCTACCACACACCATTCGGGTATATATTGCTTGAAGCTGAATCCTACTCCCTCCGTCACGAAATAGATTACAATATTTCCTCACATTTTTGTCCCGAAAAAAATTACAAAGTCAATAACTTTATAGTGATTTGACTCTTTTACCCTCCCTTTTCTTTTTTGCCAGCCACTATTCACACTATTTGGGGGGATTTGGGGGGTAATTTGGGGAAAAAAATTTTTGGTTTGACTCTTCCTTAATTTCAACTAAAATGGAATATTGTCATCTAAAATGGGACGCAGGGAGTAGTACGTAGCCGCTGCAATTTTACTATTGCCAAGAGGGTTTATTCTCAATTCGGTTTGATCTTGCCATCGAATTTCGTCGCAAATTTAAGAATTGCGACAAGAAATTAGCAACTTAGACCATTGTTGTGTGATTCATACTCTCACCATTCTTAAAAACGTAGACTTCCTCTTTCATTTCTTTTCATTTCTCACAAAATACTCCCGCTTTCTATTAAAACCTACTTTTATCACTTACCTCTTCATACCCTACCTATTACATCAAATTTTTTCTCTAATAATCTATTTATCAAACTAGAAACCCTTTAGAACGGAAGAAGTATAAAAATAAGTTGAAGAAAATACGTTCTTAGTACCTTAAGAGATTGACTCTTTTAACTAATATACATCTCATATCATATAATTTGACTCATTTCACTTAAAGTTTAATTAGAAATAAGTTAATTCAACCACTGTTACTAGAGCTTCCACAATTTTTTTAAAATATTTTTTCCTTTTTTATTTTATCTGGGAACAGATGTAATTTTTGAGGAAATGCTAGATTGAATATATTAGGAGTGCTAAAAGAGTGTCATTGTCCATCCAAGTTCAAAAACATAAAAAACATTTCCATTGCATTTGTTACGTATTTATTAGATACATAATTTTATCCGATGATCGAAGGGAGACTTTGGTGTAGGACTTCGAAATCAAGAGAAGGAATGAAAAAAGTCTAAAAATAAAGGATTTTTTTTGAATGCTATTGACTCTATTACAAGGTAGTATCTGTTCATAAAGAGCCAATGCTGCTGCCTTCGCTGGGACTCGAACCTGGGTGAACTTTCCCATGAATCTTGGGGAGTGGGCTTGCTACCATTCAAGCCAGGGGAGAAGTTCCAAGAATAAAGGAATTAACGACGCACATTTATCAAATTATATGTGTGCATTAAACTACCAAAAGAAAAAAAGAGTGACATAATGAAAGGAAGGGAGGAAAGGACTCAAAGGAGTAGTGAATAATGGAGGATGGCATCAGCATGGCGCGCATCATTAATTATCCCTCGCGAGTTTTTGACTTTATATCATAAACTTTTGAATAACATGTGCGTGCTGCTGAAATAATGTCCGCACACTTGATCTGTAAAATGTCAATGAAAGAACAACTAACGCACCAGTTAAAAAGTATATGGACCACGTAGGAATTGAAAATAATTTAGCGACCTATGAAGCACTTTTAAGAATATATAGAGATCTATAGTAAGCACTTATAAAATAATTCAGGGACTTGGGAAATATTTTCAAAAAAATAAAACGAGTTTGTAAGCACTTTACCCTTAGCTCAACCATACACCTTCCTTCTTTTTTTTAAAAAAAAATTGATTTTTTTATTCAAACTCAAGAGTTTAAAGACTAGTAAAAAAAACACTAGAAACGCTTTTTTTTAATTTTAAAAACCCGGAATGGTAAAGTATTCACGGATGCCATGAGCGGAACCAATTCTTCTTATAACTCAAAACGGAAAAAAAACAAACAAAGATCCAATCTTTAACGGCAATCGGGTCAGGAGATCCAAACATTGAACTCTATCTTGGAAATGATTTGCTTTTCTCTAAAGTAGAAGCAAACATTAACATTTTCTTTTTCTGTCCCATTAAATAAAAGTCCTGCTTCGCCAAGGTGTGATCTTCCAATTTTTTATTTGAGTAAAATACAACTCTTAGGCTCTGTTTGGTACACGGAATTCAAACTATAAAATTGAAATTGAGCACAATAATGCCAATTATTCTGTTTGGTAGCACAAAAATATGTTAATTTGGAATTGGTAGTGCCAAAAATAAATTGGAATTAGAGAAATGAATTTCATCCAACTCAATTCCATAGAATTTAATTTCCAATTCCACCAATTCCGCGTACCAAACGGACCCTTACTTTTTTTTAGACCATAAAAATTTTCAAAGCATGACACTAATTCCAAATGACACATTTGAAAAATGTAGTGATAAATTTTAAAATGACACATTTTATTGCAAATAATAATAATAATACTATTAAACTTCCAAAATGCCACATATTATGAAATGGAGGGAGCATATAATAGGTAGTTATATATACTAATAATAGCACATGGAGCAAGGAGAAAAAGAGTTAAAAACTATTTCCTCGGAGATGTCGAAGGTTAAGCTTCTTCTTCTTCTTCATCTCTGCATCTGCGCAAAGCGGCCCTTATCTCACTCAACATCTCCTTCACTCTAATCCCTTTCCTGCACACATTCCATTTCTCATTAATAGGAAGAAATCAAGTGTGTGATAGTAGAAATAAATAGTACGGACAAGAAATTCCGTTCATTGCCAACGGAGCAAAAAGAGTCGTTATTATTGACAATGTTTTAGCTTCGGGTAAAGAATGAACTTAAAAAAAGTGAGAGTCGGACGTACAAAACACTGGTCCCCACAACAGCAAGAGGGCGCGGATACTCTTCGATTTTTTTAACACTCTGTTCCTTATCTGAAACATGGGATGAATGTTCGTTCTCTTGATCCTCATTAATAGAGAGGTTTTGATCAGCTGCCCTATCACACCCAATCCCGTTAATCTCTTCGGTTATATGTGCAAGATTTTCCATTGCCTGTAATTGGCACAATAAGTGTATTCTTGAGTGCTTGTTCATTTGAGAGTTTTTTTTAATAAAAAAACACTTCCCACATTCCAAAATATAATTTTTGGTTTATAAAGAGAAAAAAAATCTCAAACAAGGGTAGTCTAGTCATACCATAGTTTTTCTTGTCTTGAATAATAAGATATAACAAATCTAAGTATATGTATTATGTTTTTTTTGTTGGTAATTTGAGACATTTACCTCAGGGATATCAATCTTATTCAGAACGACAATGTACGGTCGTTCAAGATAGTCAGGATTATACATTCGCAACTCCTGCATATGAATATTATAAAAAGTTTGGACTTTTATGGCCATAAATCAGTAGCAAGAGGCAAGAAAAATTGTCGTCTTTTAGAAGTGTTTTCTTTTTTTAAATACCTCTTTTACAGTTCTGTAATCATTTACAGGGTCCTCGGCAGCTGCATCAACAACATGGACTAACAACCTAGTCCTCCTCAAGTGTCTCAAAAAATTACGTCCTAATCCCTGTGGAAAATGGTACTATCATCTTCACATGGGTGTGAAAAGAGTTCTGCACAGAAAAGAAAAAAAGTGAAACAAAGTAAAAAAAATCTACCTTTCCTAAATGAGCACCTTCGATGAGTCCTGGTAAATCTGCCAGAGTTGCTTCGGATGAGAACTCTGCTGCCCCGAGGGTAGGGTCACCATCAAGGCGTCCGAGGTTTGGCATCAAAGTGGTGAATGGGTAATTCGCTATCTCTGGTTTTGCAAGTGTAATGGCTGCCAGCAGAGTTGATTTCCCAGCATTTGGAAGTCCCTGAAAATATTTGTTGTTGAAAAGATAAAATGATGACGATTAGGACTTATTAATGTTACCCCACGGTTATTTTTATGTCATAATATGACTCCTCGTATGGCCCTCAAATGGCTGGTGTCAATAATATGACACTCAAGCTGGATGTCAAAAGAAACTAGCCCTTAATATTAATATTAGAGTACTTACGATAAGACCAACATCAGCAACCACTCTTAGTATTAACTGCAAGCTCACTTCCTCTCCAGGCTGGCCAAGAACCAAAACCTATATTATAGCAAGAATAGATATCATGCTCATGCACACAGCCAAAGTGTAAAAGACACCACTTTGGCTTCATCTTACCTGATCCTTTTCATCTCTCATCACATTTGTGGTTAAATTTATCATTTTTTTCCTTCTGTGCTCTGGGATTTCTAACAAGCTAATCTGCCAAAAGGAAAGCAGTCAAGTAAAAAAGTAATGCTCCGGAATTCAAATAAACGATAAAAGCTGAAGCGTATCAGCCTCCATCAGTTTGTGTTTTTTTTTGAGTTTTTTACTAAATACTGTGCCCGTGCACATATACTCCGTAATAAGAAGCAATCGAGGCTTATAGTTTTCATAATTATGCTTGAGAATGATTATAAAGGTGCAATTTTTAGTGATAATTAAATTGAATTTTCAAATCACAACAATTTGTTCCTGGTAATTATCATTTTAAATAAACTTGAAAACAAAGCACTTTAATTGTTTCTTATCATGTGTCCATGAGCACAAAACACACATTCACGAATTAAAAGTGTCACATTCAAGGCATTGAACTTATGTTGGAAGATTTTTCTTACCCCTCCTTGACCACCCCTTGCAACAAGAACTTCATCGCCTGGACGGGTTAGATCAGCCAGCAGCTTTCCTCTTTTATGCTTAACAACTGTGCCTGTGAATGGGCTTATAAGATTCAACAGAAAAAGGAGACAAAGTGCAAGTCTATGGTTACTCAGATCTCATATGCTATTAATGGGAGATGGAGTTTTGACAGATTCAAAGAGGATGGGGAGTTGAAGGTTATTTTAAATTAAAAGAATTATATATAGTTTGAAAAATATGCCTATAATCATATGACTTAGGCCAAAATAAGGACTTAAGGAGTGCATATTTATGGTTGACTTTCCAATTTTTTCCTTGATGTGATGGGTGGATTATTATTGAATAAGTATGGTGTGATAAGTAGAATAAGAACAAGGGTAAAAGTGGTTTTTTAATAGAAAGTGGAAGTGTTTTGGTGAAGGAGAAAAAAAATGAAAGAGAAAGTATTTTAAAAAACGGATGGAGTAATTTATCATTTTGTATCTATTGTTCTGAAATATTAGCAAGTTAAAATGAAAAATAACCATTCTTTCCTCTTCCCATCCAAACCCCTTCAAAACCCACCCCAAAGAAAGCTTTAGGGTCAGTTTGGATCCAGAGTTTGGGAGGGACGAGTTTTAAGGTGCCAATTATACGTCTACATATAGATATGAGAATTATTAAAAAACTGAAGTAAGAACATAATAGTTGATCACACAATCCATTTTTAGAAACATTTTATTTATCAAGATACTCCGTATATATTAAGCCCATCAAAGTGTTCTCCTAAAAAATCGTCCACCCAAATAGACCCTTTATCGTGTTAAGGCGAGAGAGATGAAGTGAGACAAACCTACAGGGACAGGAATACGCAGTGTGGGTGCAGCTAGTCCATCATGCAAATGAGAAGTCAGCATTCCCATGGCATCAACATTCCCCCCACGCTTTGCATTATGCCTACTCTTGTTGTGAAACTCCAATAGCGTATCTCTGCTCTCATCTGCATAAATCACCACATCACCGCCATGACCCCCCATTGGAAGGACAAGTGAGCCGTCGAAATCCCTTTTATAAGAAGTTTTCTTCTTCATCTTCTCCTTGTTGAGCTTTCCACTTGACTTGGAAAGTGAGGTCTGGTTTGGCATACTAAGAACTGCACCATGACCGCCATCTCCAGAGCGGACTGTGATGATGACTTCATCAAAGTATTTATGCGGTTCTCTTATTAATGAGTGAAACTGGGAAGGAGAGGGGTTTTTAGCTTTAGCAAGTGTGCACCTGAGAATATAGAATCTGTGGTTCTGGTTGCATTCCCTTTTCTGGGAAAGACTGTCAAAAAAGAAGGGTGACATAAGATTGCAAGAGAAAGGAATTATTTCTCGATCGAAAGAATATATTAACCTCAAGAACTAATTTGCAGAGTTTAAAATGAAAGCAACTAAAGATAAACCAATCTCCATGAATTGATCTCCTCTCCCCTAGGGTGGTTTAATATAACAACGGGACCTAAACACAAAGAGAACCACTCTAATCTAAGTATGGCCTACAAATTTAGTCCCCCGCCTTTAAACGCTCTTATCTAAGGTCATGTCCTCTCTGAATTCAAGGCATTCTCATATAAGTCCGTTCTCTTCGGGTGAAATCTAATAAATTTAAGTTAAACGAAAGTTGTAATTTCAAATTGAAAATTTGGTACACTTGACATATCTTAACTTAATAGGCAGCACAAAACAAGAAACTACCAAGCAAACCCAATGTAATGAACAGGCAGCACGATTAACACAGCAAAAATGGGTTTTATTTTCCATTGTCAACGAGAATATTTGCAGCAGCTCAAATCCCATTTGATTGGGAGAAAGAGAGAAATGAGCAAGTACTGAAAGCCCACCTGTTTGGAAGGCGGAGCAGATGGTGGGAACAATGAAAGACTGGTTCTTTAGGAGTGGGAGCAGAAAGTGAAGAACCGTAAAAGTTTAGGTTAATGAGAGGAGATTTGAAGCACGGCATTCCTTCTTCGGTTTCAGAGTTCGGATCCTAGCTCTATTCTTGATTTGGTTTCCTGATAGCTTGTAGATGGAGAGGGCATAGTCGAGTTTGGTTCGGATGGGGTTCAAGGTTCAATTGGGCAGAGTTTAGGGTGGGAGCAGCATTTTGTGACCTAATTTGAGAGATGACGTGACAAAACAGTACTCGAATCGATTATTGGAATGGAATCATTCGAAACTAAAACCGAAATAACTCAACAATTAAATATTTGGTTTATAATCGAATTGATATGAATCGAAGCGGGATCGAACTAAATATATTTATACGCGTTTTAAATTCAAAACAATTAGATCCGAATAAATTGGAAATATCCGAGATGAAAAAAGTTTATGTTTAACTTTAATGTAATTCAATATAATTGAACTCATCTTAAGATTTAGTTTTGATATAGCAATTTTTACAATATTTATTTATTCAAACTATATTTAATTTATTGTCAAATGCTGTTACTATTTGACCCCAAAAAATCAAAACATGAAAGACTTTCTGGGACGGGTGTAGTACTTAAAATAGTCACTCCATATAATATTACCATTATTTCATGCGGAAAAAACTAAAATAAGAGTAAAATATTAAAAATATACAAAAGTAGGAATTTCATGGTTTTATTCCTGAAATAGGAATTAAAATACATTTACAATACCAATAACGACTATATACATTACCAAAAAGTTTTGTGAAATGTCGATATGTCCACATTAACTGAATGTGAACTCCTATTTTGAGTTATTTTAATAGACCTCTATGTTTTAGTCTTGTTTAAGATGATTTTTTATTATTTTATCTTAATACTCTATGTAAATAATTTTACTTTTGTTTTGGAATTAATTACTTTTCCCGGGGTACACATGTTTTTTTTTAAATTTTTACACTATATATTAAAAAGGGTAAATTTCCTAGGGTAAATTTCCTGGATAAGAGTAAAAAATAATAAAAATACCAAAATAAATGTCTGAAATTTTTTTAGACCAAAATAGGTGTTCACATTGCTATTATTACATTGTCATACTCATCACACTGCAACACGTACTCTATCATCACGCTATCATTATATTTATATTTTGATCTAAAAGATTTAGAACTCTTATTTTAGTATTTTCACAATTTTTTATTTATATCCAAAGAGATTTCATTAGTAAAGAAAAAAGGTTGTTGGGGGAGGGTGCCCGAGTAATCCCAATTTGGATCCGGCAATAACGGCCAAGCTATTATAAACAGAACACACACAATATAAGCTAACAAAGCTAATGTGGGAGATGAATCCAACACAACATAAGCACAATATAAGCTTACAAAACCGATGTAGGAATTTGTCTCTTGCAGAAACTAATTCAAAGATTCTTGGTTAATTTACCATATTTCTTTGCTTTAAAATCTTTAGAACAGTGGAAGTAATATTTTGGTCCTCAAGGATAAACTGAAACTAACCATATGACTATATATGGCAAAAAAATGGTTGGGAGTAAGTTCAAAAGAAAGTAGAGTAACATATCATTTGCATATAAAATTATAAATAGGTATGTGGTTTCTCTGTGTATACAAATGGAGACTGAACAGTTCTTCTGCACCAAGAACTCCTGCAAAAACCAGGAATGTACATATCTATCGGATCGATGTGGCCATGTTTGGATGGGTTTGGATTGAATCAGGAAACCGACCGTTTCACTAACGAAATCTTCGACATGTCACCCTTTCCCCCTACTTCTTGGAATATGACCAATAGATTCTGTGTTGGTTTCAACCAAGACCTTGGGACATGATACCTGTGCAGTGGCATTATGCAAAAGTCCAGTGTTTAGAATTATGTAGGATGATGATGGGTATATGGGAGTAAGGGTAGAAGTGGAATTTACCATCTTTGATTCAGCTTATTGCCACACCCTTGTTGGCATTTTGGGACATTGAATGTCCCATTGTATGAACAACCATGCACACACTTTCCATCCTTCACATGCAATGACCAATATCTCCCTATACTTTCCCCATTTACCCATACCTGTCCCTTCCCCATGCCTCTCATGTCAAAAGCCAAAGGTTCACTTCCACCTGGTGCATCAAAATTAGCCTTGAACCAGTTCAGTTGTTGGGTGACCGGAGAGGATGACCCTCCGATCCAATGGACCGACGAGACACCCTTTGGAGAGAACAAGTTCATTGATTCTCCCCTCATTCCAACCTGCATTTTTTAAACATCTTTCAAATACGCTTCTCTTGTAAACAAGCTGCAGGTTTAAAGAATTGCGCGATTCGTTTTTACCCGGAATTTCCATGTTTGCCATGAGAGATCCTTGTTTCCCTGGTTCAGACCTTTGAGAATAACTGGTCCCAGGATTCCCTTACTCTGATCCTCAAAGCCGTTCCCAATATTCTTTGATATTCCATAAAGAAAGAAAGGAAAACAAAAAAAACAAAAGGTAATTAATTTTCCATTTAAGTGACTGAAAAAACTTGGTTGATTTTAAAGAATGAAAAAAAAACTTACTGGAAGCCCCATAGCTAAACTTAGTAAGGCAATCTCATTTTTGCCAGCCTTTAGTTCAATTTGTCCAGTAAATGTGAATCTCTTTGACTCTGTGTTACCATACGAAGATCCTGAAATTGACAGCAAGAAATGAATCAAAAACTCATTGCTATATTCATTTTTTTTTGTGATTTTTTTAACACATTTTTCTATTTATAACAAAAAAGAATATCTGCCACAATATAGTACCTGAAAACTTTCCATTAACAAATACATGTACTCCATCCCCTCTTGAATTGACGATTAACGTGAGCTTTTCTCCTTTTTGTAAGAATGTTTCGGATGGATTAATATCAACACTGCATTTTTTGTGACAAAAGAAGAATTATGTAATAACATGTCATTTAATTCCATGTGTTAGTCCATGAAATCAGAATGAAGAACTGACCTTGTTATATACCACAAATAGTCACTAGTGTCCTTGGTCATGCTGATCTGGTCCAAGAGTTTATTAGCTGTGGGCATTGAACTGCCCTCCAAAGCTGGTATGTCTTCATGATAAGTTGCCCATGAATGCAGCTGAGAGTTACTTGGTAACATTTTTGTCCGCGAAGTGCGGGTCCCGACCTTAACAGCAATTACGAGGTTCCAAAGAAGATTAAAACAGAAATTTAACTTCCCGGTGAAAAAAGTGCAAAGATGATATGTGTGACAAAGGGTCCTTTTGGAACCACAGAAATTGCTAGAAGAAGAAAATGGGGAGGCAAAAAGACCCAATTAAGTTACCCAGTTGGGGATGGCTTGAAGACTTACTTTTGCAGTGTTGAAGACAACATTGTAGCAGTCAGGTAGTATGCTAACAGACCAAGGGGGCAGTGTATATTTCTTCCCCTTAAAAGTTATTGTCGCTTCATATTCGCTGTCTAAGTTTGACAGAAAGGCAGCACATTTTCCTTTCCCATATGAGAAAACACTTGCCTGCAATAAATACAGAAATTACTTCACTGATGAGTTTAGCAAAGCTAATCGATACACATATCCAACTCTGTAAAGCTTTTTCACCTGTTGAGATTTCCCCAGCTTAATCACTTCCGGAACTGATGATACTAGAGCTTGTTCACATTGTTTAATCGCTTTGTGAAGCTCGGTTAAATGTCCATACTTAGGTTGTCTTATCAGACCTGAAAGTTTTTGTTGTCAAGAACTTTTGAGATCATAAGGCCATTTAATAACCACTTTTGACATTACAAACTTGCTGCTCGTGTATTAAGGCGCAGTTTGGTAAGATGTAATGAAATCGAATCAAACATGTGCTTGATAATGGTCACATTACAAGTTATTATGGTCGGGCAAACAGACCCTTACCGTATTCATCAAGCGGAGCATCATAGTCATAACTGGTTGTTATGAAAGGTCCACCCGCACTGCGACCAAAGTTTGTTCCTCCATGGTACTATCACAAAATGGACATTGATCACCACTTTATTAGCATGTATTCATTTGAATTCTACTGTGCCATTATGTTATGGGGGTAGAGTTGTCATTTTGAAGTTTAGTTTCTTTTTCTTAGAAGCCCTTACCATATAATAGTTAACAAATGAGCCACCCTTCGCTATGAAACGAGCAACTGCAAAAGCTAAATCTTCAACCGGACGCCTTGGGATTGGGCCTCCAAATTCCATGAACCTAATCATTTTTTTACAGAGATTAAGAATTAATCATTCAATCCTCATAAAATCAAATTTAAAAATGTGTCCGACAGACAAATGTGGCTAAATCTGCATATTTGCAGAATAAATAGCTTTTAAATTACTAGTTTGGCTTTGATCTATGTTCCAAAACATTTCTTTTTCTTAAAGACACCGATTCTACCATTTCATTTCAGAAAATTAACTTTCACCAAACCGGGTTAATATAAAAACGAATGAATTATTTAAGCCTAATCTCTAGGAGATTACTGAGGCGGGCGCTAAACCATTTCTTTTATTAACAATGAAGCAGATCCAGATCATACCAGCCACTCCAAGCTTCGGTCCACATTTTAGGCTTGTAGGCTTTGTTGGGAGAAAAATAATCACAATAGAAGCCATTGCATGTATTTATCTGCTTGATGAATACAGAAACAAAGTAAAAAAGTGCATTATTAGAAACAAAATTTATGTGTCTCCTAATTATTATCTAATATTTCAGAAAAGGAATGACTCATGAGAAGAAAGAAAGACGACTCACAATCGGATCGGGGGCATCGGATTCTTTGCACATGATCCATGGCACTCCTGTGTTCAGCCCAACTGCCATTTCTGCAGCCCAGTCAATATATGCCTTCTCAACTCCTACATGAGCCTTACTTTCTGAACCATACTCATTCTCAATCTACCAAAAGCAGGAATATTACTTATTCTTGGAATGCAATTAACATTTTTTTATCTAGAACACACAAAATAAATAAATGAATATAGTTGTTTACCTGGGACAGTATTATAGGACCTCCTTGAGACTGAAACAGTTTTTCACTCTTCATCATTTCAACAATTTTCTTGGTGAACTTTTGCATTTGTTCCTTTTATCACAAGAGAATTAGAAGGGGGGAAAATCAAAATTCCAATGATGAAGACGGATAAATTCGAAAATCTACACAAAAATTAGACTTCGAGCATAAATAACCTTGAACGGTTCATTATCGGTTCTGAAGTGGATACCAGGAACAAATTTCAACCAAACAGGAAATCCTCTGCACAAGAAAATACATACTTGAACAACCATTACT